TTTTTTTGAATATTATTTAATTATAGAAATCAATTAAGAAAGCTTTATCTGAATTTCGTCGAACTCATTATGATTCATGGCATGAACATCGTGAAAAATTTACTGAAGATCAACTTGTGATATTAGCTGATGTATTAATATCACCTAGTTATTATGCTTGAAAAGAAAAATTGAATGATTTCAATGCAGTAAAATTTCTTACTGTGATGTTTCTTTTTTTTTCGTTTTTCATATTCTCAAAACAAGAATTGAAATGATAAGAATACCCCGGTTTGTTTTTTGCCTATCTTAAGAACTTATTCTTGCTTAGTATAATATACTGTCATAGCCGAGATTGTATTTCTTGTTGTTTGTTGTTGAAATTACGTATTCTGATTTTTTTTGTTGTTGTTAAACAGGAAAAAAGAAAAACTTTGACCTTTTTTTTTCTTCTTCACGAAACGGAGACGGTTCTTTCTTTTTCTTTTTTATTATTATATAAATATATATATGTAAACATATATATTGAAAAAAACCAGTAGGAATTATTTGCTTTAGATTAAAAATTAAATAATTATATTTTTTTTCAATAATGTGATAAAAATAAGTGGTGAGATATTTTATGCATGGAAATGAGTTTATGATTATGCATAATTTGTGTTTCTCAGAGCATGTTTTAATAACATTTTCTAATATCTAATCATAATAAGTATATACACGAGTATTATTTTTGTAGAAGTCTAGTACACCTGCATGATCGGATTGTGCAATTTGAGTTTTAAATGATGTAAAGTGTTTAATTCTGTCGTAAAAAGTCCTAGAATTCAAATTCCTGATAAGAAATATCATAATCTTTTCCATTTATGGAATGATTATGAATTTCTTTTTTTTTCTAATCTAATTTCGTATTATTATTATTATTGCGCCAGAGGTTTAGTAATTTTTTTTTAATGATAACAGCAGGATCAAAGTTGTGTTATTTTTTATTCGTCTTCATATGAATATAGCATAAATTCATATAATCCATATTAGAATAAATATTTTTCTTTAGATTAATAAAAAAAAATCCGTATAAATAAAAATAAAAAACGAGGTAAATATATTATATATCTATATACTATTTCGCTTTAGTCATTTTTCTTATTATAATCATTGCTTATCTAATATTTTTCTTTTTGAAAGCTATAAATGTATATTAATTTACATATCTAACAGCACTTTCTTTTCTATAATATTTGTCAGCTTTGTACTAATAAATTGTACTGATGAGATAACATGGTTTCCATTTGTTAAAACATTTCTGTTAAATATATGTTTTATTTAAGTTTAAAAAATTAAATGAAATTATATTAAAATAGTAAGATAGAAAAGAGTTCACAAAAAAAAACTTATGATTATGATTTTATATTTAATAAATAGATCATTTCGTATTATTGAAATAAAAAATAAATTGTACTGCTGTTGTCTTATTAATCATTTACAATGCGTTATGTTAGTTACTGTCAATAGAAGAATACTTAAAAGCATATATTTGAAATAAGACAAGTAGCGGCGGAGCCAGTATGGTTAGTTGAGTCCACTCTAACTCAGCGAAAAAGTTTATTATAATGTAGCTTTGAAAAACTCTTAAGGTAGGCTATTCTTCGCTCCGCTACTAAAGACAAGAATATCTTGATTCAAAGAAAAAAAAATTAATACTAGATTTATGAGTAACTTTTAAATTTATCTCATTTTGAAAAGTATGTAACGAATTCCCATTTGATTCGAACAGGAATAAAACTATCGATAGTTTGATATTTAAATGGTTGGCTGTTCTCTGATCGTTCTTCGATTACGATGTACAGATAGCAGCACCTTCCGAGATTGATTTCGTCGGCAGTTATTGGAATTTTTCTATACGTCCCGTTATATATTTTATCATAAAATGGAAGAAACTAGGCTGAAGTTATGCACCTAGCCGAGGGTGAGGACGAGAACAACACTTAGAGACGGCAATCAGCTAGAGGGTAGAGTTCATCAGATCGGAACTCGATCAAACCGTACTTTGATGCTCTCAATGAAATTTTCCTATCCGAATCGGATAGTTACGCTGACGATACGAAATACTTTTCTCTTTTTATTGTATTCGCTGATTAAGGTACTTTTTTCGGACCCGCATCCGTCTTCGGGACCAACCCGACGAGCTCTAATTGAAGGTAAAGGCTGTCGCTTTAGAGCCATACCTCTCTATTGATACAGTTAAAATGCATTATATGCTATTAATAGAGAAATTTCGGTAGTCCCTCCCCCCTCACCGATAGTTATTCTCTGACAGACAATTTACTACTGATATACCGGCGGTAATGCGAACAAATGTCCGACATAGATTGATGTATTTTTTTATATTAAAATATATAACTGTAGTATTGAAAAGTTCATCCTGAATTATTCGAAAGTTTCCTTTAAGTTTAAGTAAAATTTTTGTTTGAACTATTCATACATTCGCGAAGAATAGTTATACCATTTTTGTGACACAAAAAAATATAAATAAACGATTGCAACAAACATATATTACAATTATTATGCATGATATCAATAGCTTAAGAACGACTTAATATATTAGAATGGATTCTTTGTTTTTTTGATACTATGATTTTTTTTTCTTACTAGATAAATAAAAGAACAATGCATCATAACGAACAATATATAGAAAAAATAGACGTAGATAATTTTCAAAAACCGAATGTTTACAATAAATTTTTACCATTTTATGAAACTATCAAACAGCAAAGTGTAGAATCATTTAAAGAAATTTGTGAAAATCTTTCACGTATTATTCAATTACGTGAATTACGACCAGGTTTTCCACTTTGGTCATCAAAATTACAACAATTTATATCACTTTATGGTTTTTGTTTTATTAAAAGTGATCATCTTAAATTAATTAATTTATATCTATCCGTCCTTACTATTCCAAATTTAAATTATTCAAATGCAAAAACATGCTTTGATATAATTGATGAACTTTTAAAGTTAATATTTTGTTTGTTTTTTTTTCTTTCTATTAAATAATAAATTATCTATTTATTATAGTAAGTCTCGTTTGATTACAAGAGATGATCTTATTGTTAATTGGCGAATACTTTATACATGGGTAAAACTAATTCTTTTTAATAATGATGAATCCTATTCATTGATTGCTTTACCTAAGTTTGTAATTTTTTTTTTACTTTCTTTCTTTTAAAAAATAAATTTTCCTTTTTTCTTTTTATACATTCAGTGATATTGAAAAATCACTTTTATATTGTGTCCGCAGTTGTCGTCCATATTTTTCAATAACAGCAACACAAGAAATTCTTGATGAATTTCGTCCATGGTTATGTCCATTTGATTCAGCTTTTAGTGATGCTATGTGTTATTTAGATCTTTTCTTGCCAGTTCATTTACCACCGAATTTACATGATCAAGGATTTAAGTATGATATTCAAAAAGAAAAACATTAATTTGATTATAATTTCTTTTTTATTTAGGTTATGGTTACCGGAATTTTTAAGTATTTGGGAAAGTGTTTGTAGTAATCCTGAATGGGAACAAGTTAGTTTTTAAGAGAATTTCGATATTTTTATTGTTAATTGATTTTTTTTTTTTTGAAGAATATGATCAATATATTTTCTTTTGTTTCATGGTGTAATATTGGTTATATCGATTGGGAACCTTGGCTACCAAAAGTATAGTTTTATTAATTATATTATTATATGAAGAATTTTATCTATTAGATATTTACACGTATACTTAAAAATTTTTCACTACCAGTTGCAAATGTACAAGTATCATCACAAACACAAAATTATTCTATATCAATTACGGCAACATGGATTATTGCTATGATGGGCAATGGAAGTTCATGTTTACAATATTTAATAGATTTATTTACTGCAATTAAAAGTTTTTATCATCCATCGAATACGGGAGATTTTCAACAAGATCTTGTTAGTTTTCTTTCAAAATTAGCCCAAGCATTTGTTGATCGAGTTCATTTGTAAATTAAATTATTATTTTATAGTAAAAATATTTTCAATATAAATTTATTATAGAGAACGTAAATCTGATCCTGTATGGCATTTTAATCCACCACAATCTTATCGAATAACAGAAAATGATATTACAGATTTTGTTGATTGTATTAAAGAATGTGTCTTCATTTCAGTTTTTAATAAAGCTCATCTTGAAGAAGCTGCTAAAGCATGTCAATATTTATCAATGCTTCGGCCAGCATTTATTGTTCCACCATTAGTTGAATTGTTCGTAGATTTTCTATTTATTCTAATTATTAATTGTTTAATTCATTTCTAGGCTCTTTTCTTCGATCAATAGTATGACTGAACCACATCGTTTTACATCTATTGTTACTTGTCTAGCTGATATGGCTCGTCAGATTGTACGGCAAACACCTGAGTTTTCACAAGGTCAAACATATGTTTTACCATTATTAATGGCTGTTCT